ACCGGCTGGGTTGCCACGAACCCTAAACCCTAAGCCCTTCTTTTGCTTCTCACTGGGTAATGGTGGGTTCGTGTAGCGAAACATGGTGGAAGGCATCCTAAACTGCGGCCCCCAAGCTCCTTTGAAGGGATCTATAGGGTCCCTTTAAGGGATCTATGGGGTTTAGGGTTCCTTTAAAGGGATCTTTATCTTGCGTTAGCAGGGAATGGAGGAATGGGGTATAATTATAAATTATAACTACTATTACTACCATTCTTCCGTTCCCTACTAACCAAAGGTAAGTAAGTGGGTGGTTGTCAAAATTATGGTCCAATTCTGGGTCCCTACTATAATACGGCACCTATTAATTAGGGTACCCAAGAAGGGACCTTGATGTTGACAACTACCCAAGTAACTTGTAAGGCCTCCAGGCGAGCGATTCCCGAATTAATGGTTACAGAGATCGGAAGACTTCGCGTGATGTCCCACCTAACCCCTTCTATAGTTACAAGATAACACATCCCAGAACCCTCGTCTAATAAAAAAGGCCCCTAAAGCGCAGCCTGAGCCCGATTCCGCACGCCAGGCCTTTGCGGGACCCATTTTTTTCTGGATGAGCATGGTCGAGGCGCAGCTTGGGCGGTCGTAAGAGGTCGCGGCTTAAGGGTTCAGCAGGTCGGGTTTGGGGCTGAAGAGTTCGGGGGGTAGCATCGGCGTTTAATTATAGGGCTTAGGTTTACGATGGCTTAGGAAACAAGAGAAGAGCAGGTGCTGCCCCTCAATTCAAGGTATCCAGCCCACGATGCCTTAACCATGGTCCCCTACTTGATGCCCTCCGTCTCGGTACGAATTTCTCCTGCTTGCTCGGTTCGGGGAGTTTTTTCAAAAAGTTCATAAATAGATGTAGCAGCGCCAGAAGTAGTTAAAGTTATCCTAGGCATGCTTGTGACTCTGCTTGCAACCGAAGGCCGTGAACACTAACGAAATTTATTCCATCTGTCAGTGTGTACGTCCGCTAGTCCTCTGGGCGCAAACGCTACTGCGTTCGGGAGAGATGCGTGCAAAGAACCTCTCCTACACCTTTGAGTTCACAGAGACTACTACACCGACACCATGTCTTGATATTGAGGCTCCACCCCAAATCCTAGACCCCTAAACCCTAAACCGCTAGACTCTATACATCCCCAAACCCTTCTTCCCCGATTGAGCAGGAGGTGCGGCTGGCTCTGACGGTGACCTTCTCCGAGCAGGATGGGTTTTAGGGGTTTTAGGGAGGGGTTTTGGGGTTTCGCTCGCGTTTTTTTGGTTTGGGGTTTTCGAGCTTGACTTGAAGAATTTCGGCTTCGAGGTGAAGATTTTCGGATTTAGGGAAGTACCTACCCGCAGGGCCCATATCCTATGGTGGGACCAGTGTGGTAGCAGGCTTGCTGAGCAGATCACGTTGTGATGCAGACCCCTGATTCATAGCCCCTCCCCGTCCAGGACAGCCCCAATATGAAGATCCCCATATTTCATCTTTTGTTGATTCAGTAAGGGGTGCTTACTCACATTAAGCCCTGTTAATCCCACACCCTATATTAACAGTACTCGGATGAAGCCACTATTAAACCATGACAAAACCATCTTGGGCCTACGTACTGAGCTCAGCCTGTGTCGAATGCTACACGCGTGTTCCATGAAACTTCGCCAGAGCCAGCCTTCTTTCTGATTTACGGTTTCGGACCCAGAGACTCCAATATTAATATCCCTTAATTAAGGAATATACTTTACATTATGATAGGATCCCTAATATGATTTAAGGAATATTCCTTTATTAAGGGATATTGGAGTCTCTGGGGATGTAGGGTTTGCTTTTAGAGGTTCGGGGTTCCACTGGCATGAGCAGAAGACTGTTCGGAGTGCAAGGTCTAATGGCATCCCTGCTTGGAGAAACCAGCTCTATTGTCCGCTTCTGTGCTAGGATGGTTCCATGAGCCATATCTACATGGGAGATCCTGCAAATTCGTGCTTTGGCACAAACCACGATTGGGCAAGATCCTTGGGATGAGGACCCGTAGACATGAGGAATCCCCGGATTTGAACCCTAAGCTTCTTGAGCCCCAAACTGACCTGTCCGACGATGAATCAGGAGGAGACACAGGCCATGAAGGCACGCGCGGTTGCAGGGTTCAGGGTTTAGGTCTAGGGGCAGCATTGTTTCTAGGCCTGAGGATGATAATGGTTTTCGCAAAAGGACTTCTTGAAATGAGGCTTCCAAAGAAGCGCGGCTCTAGTTTGTCGTAACAGGGATCAACTTTAAATCTGGGTGTTGTTGGGCCTTTCAAGGAGTCATGTTGCCCAGAGCCCCCCTATGAAATATTACATAAGGTACCCCAAGACATGCACTGAAAAACATTTAATCCCCTTAACCTTGGGTCTTAGGGCTTAAGAGGGTTATAGCAGGGCTGTGGGGACTAAAGGGACCCTAAGTTTGACAACTACTCATATAATTTACCCTAAACCCTAATCCCTAAACCCTAAACTCAAGGCATGGCCGCCCACCTATGTGGGTGGGCGGCGCTTAAGCCCCTCCACCTCGATGGCGCAGAGCGACCCAATACACACGATGTGCCCGGTACCGGAACACGTTCTCCCTGCAACCAGTACTGGCCCCTTAGTAAAGAAACCTGCCACCCAAAATGTCCCCTGCCCCGCCCCTCCCCTGCCCCTGCCCTGCCTGCCCCTGCCCCAGGTGCCAAAGTCGAGGTCCCCTCCTTTCTTTTCGTGTGGCTGCTTTAAACCCTGCGGTTGCAGAAACAAAGAAAACCATGGAATGAGTTTAGGGGCTAAACCCTAAAGGAATAGGTTTGGGTGGCTTGGCGGGCTTAGATTATGCGCCACTCTACGGCAAACCCTAAGCCCTTAAATCCTAAACTCATGGCATAGGCCGCCCACCTACTCTGGGTGGGCGACGCTTGAGCCCCTCGGCCTCCATGGCGCAGACCGACGCACGACGCTTGCCCGCCTCTCCACAGCCATGGGGCCCGGTATCGGAGCAGGTTCTCCTCGATACCAGTACTGGTCCCTTAATACCAGGGGCCTCCAGCAAGCACCTTAGAGGCCTCCAGGCCCCTCCTGCCCAGATTCCGCATTACCCCTCCGGAAATGTGGAAAACTGGTGCTGGTTTTTGCTTACTAAATTCCGTTCATAAGATGTGCATTTTAATTAGGGCCAGGTGCCAAAGTCGAGGTCCACCTCTTTCTTTGTATGGGCCTTCGGGACTCCTTGGGGCCCTGCCCTGGTTTGCCCTGCCTGCCCGCCTTGCTGCTGCCCTGTTGTGCGGTTGAAGAAATAGAGAAAACCATAGAATGAGTTTAGGTGCTGAATACTAAAAGGAATAGGTTTGGGTGGTTTGGCCGCCTTAGACGGCGTGGGGTGGGAGAGTTAAAAGAAAGAGCCATCCACAATCAGGCTCCCCCAACAGCCAATCGTCGACGACGCACTTGAAATTACACTCTCGCAAGATACTTCCGCTTATGCGCCACTCTACGGCAAACCCCAAACCCTAAACCCTGAACCCTATCATATAATACAAGTGCCTCCGCAGGCCCAGGCGGTCAAGAAGTCGACGATCTCAGCCTCGCAGTCAGAGCTCCGGCTGCAGATCTTGAACGGGCTTAGGGTTTTGGGGTCTAGGAGGGTAGGGTTGGGGGTTTGGGGTTTGGGGTTTTGGGTTTTTTGGGCTTAGGGTTTTGGGGGCTTGGGGTGTTGGCTCTAGGAGGGTAGGGTTTGGGGTTTTGGGGTTTGGGAGTGTGGGGTTTTAGGGCTTTGGGGTTTTACGAGTGTGGGGATTTGGGGTTTGGGGTTTAGGAGTGTAGGGTTTTGGATTTAGGAGTGTAGGGTTTTGAGTTTAGGAGTGTAGGGTTTTGGGGTTTGGGGTTTAGAAGTGTAGGGATTTGGGTTTTGGGGTTTTTGCGGTTTGGGGTTTAAGGGTTCAGGGTTCAGGAGTGTGCGCTTTCGGGGCTTAAGGTTTAGGAGTGTGGTGGGTTTCGGGGTTGGGGGTTTTTGAGATTAGATGCCCTTCATGTTCCGATTCTCCTAGTTTCCAGAGAGTACGTGTGGTTAATAGGTCCTGAAATTGAGCAAAGGCATATGTCTTCTTCGAGGGTGTACGCTGGCATTCCCTCCTAGCCCTTCAAAACTCAGTACGCAGAGCCCGATTCTCCCCTTCAAATTTCCTTTTTTAAGTCTTTCGGCCATCCTAGGCCAATAAACAACCAAAATCTAAGGCTCGAGGCCTAGGGCCTAGGGCTTCAGTGCTACAAAAGTCGTCTGCAAAGCATGCAACAGATGTCAGATCTGGAAATAGTTCGGAGAGTTCCGTTACCGTACACAAAGCCATCCGAGGACAAGTTTCGGACCTACTTGCGTTTACGTTGACCTACGCCAACCCGAGGCTGGGATGGCTCTGGAGACAAGGGTGGCTTAGGATTTAGGTTATAAGTCCCCGAATATGGGTCATAAGTCCCCTAATATGGGGTAGCATGCTGGCAAAATGCGCTTCATATTGCGACTGCAGCATGTGATCTAGTCCGGGTCTGGAGGTTGTACTTTGACATACGTAGACTGTGGCCTACACCCTTGCAAGAACAGAGCCCCTGCAACACAAAAACGAACATCGGACCTGGAAGAATAAGTTCTAAGCCTTAATCCCACACCTCAAAACCAAGCTAGGGCATAGCGTTTAGAGCTCAAAATCCAGGGCTTCTTTCGGCCGCAAACCATGCTTGAGGTTTTCCTTCGCCTGTCGAAGTCAAACCTAGACCTGCATCTGTTTCTTTCAGGGCCGGGGGTTCATCAGGTTTAGGGTCTGGGACGTTCAGGCTTAATTTTTGTTATGGTTTAGGGCTTGGGGTTCGACAGGCGAGGTTGGGGTTTAGGGTCTGGGGTTTCAGGGCTCAGGAGTGAACATGTTTAACATGTCTGCGCATTGACGCCCATGTATACCTAAAGTTGGCAGTTAGCATCTGCATTCTGCCAGGTATTCCTCGACCAGTTCTGTTTGCCAGATGATGGGTAAATGATGAAATGATATAGACTTGCCATGACGATTGCGAGCATTGCGGATGGGGGCTCTATGTCGTGTAAGATCGTACGGTACACAGTCTATGTCAAGGGTTTAGGGTTTTATTGCCAGGTGCCTCCCTGGTGGCCGCGGGCCATTTGCCACTGCCCGCCAAAGAGAAGCCCCAGTGAAGCACCCAAAATTCTAGCTCTTGGGGGAGCTTCGCGCCGGAGGGTTCAGGACTTGCATACCCAGAACCGAAAACCCGAAACTCTACTTCCGATAGCCTGGAATTGCTTGAATCCTAGCCAACACCAAACCCTAGCCAAAAGCCCGCAGCCAAGTTTTGTGCGTTCCTGATTTCTGAAAGCTTCGGGTACTAGACTAGACCTCGAATTGGGATTTAGGGTTCATCGTCGAGGTCATCAGGGATAAGGGATGGTTGACCCATTTGCCAGCACGGTGGCAGTGTAAGTTTACATGCATTGCATGTAGCATGATGATGGTTCTGCTTATCATCGGCATTGTGCTTGTTGTTGTGACTTCCGCTGTTTCTACCCGCACTGTTGGTGTTGTTGTTAGCACTATGATTGTTCGTCATAGGATCGCGGCCATCACTATGACCGCTCACGCTCCCGCTAAGCAGATTTGAGTATGATGACGTTGTGTATGACTTCTTACGCACGAGGCCAATGCCCGCGACGTCCAACTGTAAAAAAGACCCTCAAGCAGCACAGAAGCCTCAACAATCAGTAGTCCCATTGGTTCTTGTAGAAGAGTCAACCGCAAAAGCTCGTGCCCTATCATGAGGGCCTAATCCTTGGCCGGGGTGCCATTCGCATATTGAAGTACCATAGAAGCCCTTAGTCTTAAGTTTTTATCGCTCCTCCTATTCACCGGTTTTCTCAGGACGAAAGCCTTGGTAAAATCCTGAACCCCAAACCGCACGCTCGCCAACCTAAACCCCCTCTCTTTTGAAGCTTTAGCATTCCGCTCAGCATCGCAAAGAAGATGCGCAGACATTGCGGCGCGGTGCGATCTCTGCTTACAAAAAGTTTGCGGTGGCTCAGACTATCAGCAGGTATGCTATTTCGCCGCCAGCTTGTTTTGAAATCGTCGTGGTTGTACTAGCAGGCGCGGTCAATACAAGACGAAGATGAGGAGGTTTTGACCGACAGGGGCAGGCGAAGAAGATGAGTGAAAGACTACCTTGGATTGCATCTTCTCGTTTAGGAATATGGGTGGTTGTCAAAATTATTGCCCCCTTTTGGGTATCCTAAATATTATGTGCCGTATTATAATAGGGACCCAAAAAGGGACCATAATTTTGACAACCACCCATATAGGCCCATGTAGGCGCGATTTGCCCGAAAGCCGGAAGCCCTAAACTCGAAGCCCCTGCATCCTTCCATGGCCAGGCATGTAACATAGGGTTTAGCGTTTAGGGTTCAGGGTTTAGGGTTTAGGGGTTTAGGGTTGAGGGTTTAGTCGCTTGAAGAGTCACTAGTACTATTCTCAGGGCTCCTTCTCACGACTGTGCTATATCAGACACCAAAGCTTAGTCTAGTCATCCACGCACCCACATGCGACTCATTGCGATAAGATTGGAGAGCTGGTGTCTCGGCTGTTGCTCCCGGAGCGCGAAGCGCTCGAGACCGAAACACGTTTATGTCAGATAACTACCGGTCTTTTCTGAAAGACAATAGCGCGGTAAGAATACAGACTAACATGATTCCTTCATAATCTAGTACAACATACCCTAAGCCCCCATTCCGATTGTTGGGGCCCCGACATTAGCGCGGACTACTCCTGAATAGTGGGTTTACCGTTAAGGTGGCCATGATAAAGAAGACTGTGCCCAACTGACTGATACTTGAACCCTGTATTTAGAATTTGTGATTTCTTCACTGGCCCTTCGCACCATAAGAGTAGAAATCGCAGTAAGGATGTCATAGACATGGAGCACTTGTAAGCCAGGAAAGGAATCCAAATACTCCTTGACGAAGGACCCCTACTGCCATTTAGGATAACTTTTGGGTGGACACCGCCACGTTTTGCACTTGCTGGGAGTAAGATAGGGCCAGAATAATTACCTATGCTATCATTTTCTGGGCTCCTTATGCTAGTTATACCACAGAAGCGATTGTGCCAACAGCGAAAACAGAAACAGCACCAAGAGCATGGTCATACTTGAGACTCGGCTGAGCGTGTTATCAAGCCTCGTCGCCCAGTCGTCGGTCAACCTCAAAATCAAACGATGGCCAACATCCCCCGATTCTACAAGGAACACATTCTTGAATGGTTAGCTGGGGCTTTCATCTCGATTCATTCAGGAGCACTCTTCACGTCGGAAGTGTTGGAGAGATTCTCAGAGGAGCCATGTCCATCGGAGTCTTGGTGACTCTACTGAGTGGCGACCAGACGCGCATATCGGTGGCCGAGGATGCTTTGGTAGACGTGCTTCGGCAAAAAGCGCAGAAGAAGCTGAATGCCAGCATTGGACCTCTGATCACTGCTTCGGGCTCTTTGCTTGAGGGGCCTACTACGCTGAAGCAGGCGGGTCTTCGAGATGGTGACGCAGTCACAGCCATCCTACGAGACTTTCTGGCGTTTTCAGGGGCAGCGGGATGGGGTGGATTCCTATGACATATCATAAGTGCCTATAATCCCTTATAGTAGTCCTTATACTTATATGGGTGTTTCCGAAAATAGGGACCCTGTTCACGAGGATCCTTACTAGAAGGACCCCAAAGTAAGGTACCCATAGGTACCCCTCATTTTCGGAAACTCCTATATTCTTTCCTCCACTCTTCCCAGAGAGCCCAATACCCCTTAATGCAGGAATATAGCTTAAATTATATAGGGCTTCATATTATGATTTAAGCTATATTCCTTGATTAAGGTGTATTGGGCTCTCTGGGTTCCTGAAGCGCCAGTAAGGAGATGCTTCTCTGGCAGCCACGACCGGGGCTTTCGCGTTGATCCGGGGAGACGGCTCGGTCGTAGCATGGGGACATCCCGGCGCCGGTGGTGACGAAGATGGTTCAGAATATTTTCTAGTTGAGTTTGAGACGTGATGGACAACTAAGTAAGAACAACGACTTGGACTAATATGAAGCAGATAAGGTGCTATGATATAAACAGGTATGGTACAACTTGAGATTTAAGAGACCTCGAAGTACCGAGGTGACTGCAGCGCAGTACAGGAGCAGCTGCGGAAGGTGAAGTGCATCAAAGCCGCAGCCGCGGCTTTCGCTGCACTCCGCGAAGATGGCTCGGTGGTCACGTGGGGTGGGAACCTGGGCACAGGTTAAACTGTTAAGGGGTTGAGGGGGTTTAGGGTTAAGGGAAGTTCCCATAATGCTGGAAGAGTACAGCTTGGTATATACTCTGACATGACGTAAGACCTAAGAGTACATTCATTCGCTTTGAGGCCCAACACCCGCTGAAACCCTGAAGCACTAAGCTATGGTAGCTTGAAAAGTCGTTCCTGAACGAGAACCTGGTTACAGCCCATAAGCCATAAACCATGCAGATATGGCAGCGCACAGGGACTTCAAAAGCCCCGGCGTTCAGGAATGTTCCTTAGATTTCAACTATGTTCCTAAATTAGTGGAGGTTGGGCCCTGGAAAACCTCTATAAGACCCCATAAAATCCTACATTGAGCTGTATAAAGTCCTACAGAGCCTTTAGTGATCCAAGCTGATAATGCCAAACTCGGTGTTGAAACCTGCAGAACCCGAAGGCCTTTACGCGGACCCTTGCCGCAATGCGAAATCAAAACTAAACCGTAAACCCAAACCCTGAACGGCTAAATCCTAAGCCCTAACAACCCAGGCATGGAGGCCACAGTGCCGAAGTTCAAGAGCAACTACACGACGTCTCAGAGATCCAGGCTACTGACAAAGTCACAACTGGGCTTTTGTTAATGAGGGCTCTTGCTATTATATAGAAGGACCCTTGATAGAGCACTGAAAGGGGCTTACAGGATATCAGAGGAGCCAGAACAGTGTTTCGCGCGTCCTATAGTGGTGTTTGCAAAAGTTTGGGGCCAAGGGTTCTGGGGTTTGTGGTTTTTCGCACACGGATCTGACATGTCTTCGAAAAGGGGAGCAAGGCACACACTTAGGGATCATATTCGGGCATCCCCAACCCAAGTACTTTGTAAATCTTCTCCGGGCTTACAGCCTATCGTCTTCACGGAGGGTTCGCAGGGGTAGCACACATGGCAAGCCGGCACCGAATTTCGTTTACACGACCTGCGAATGCTGTAAGCTTTGCGGCCTGCATATGTTCGTCGACATGCACTGCCTTGCATGCTAAGCGACTACACATGTCACATATCAGAAGCTTCATGCCTTCATTCAAAGACAAGCATAAAACAAAGCACCGGCGATCAGCCTTCAACATACTTATAACAACCCTGAACCCTGAACCTTAAACCCTGAACCCTAAACCCTGAACCCTAAAAAAGAGTCCCATGCGAAAGGCCACCTTCGGCGCTTTTGCTGCCTTGCGCACAGATGGCTCTGTTGCTCGGTCCTTCTGTGGAGCTTGTATACTGTAGGGGCCTTAATAATTAGAGCACTATAAGGAACCCCAAAACAGTATCGGTAATTATGAAGGCTATTACATATGATGAGCTGTCATGTTCTTAAGGGTTTGAGGGTCTAAGGGTAAATGGGTAGAGGAGCCTAACCTAAGCTTACCAGGATAGGTATATGTCGCAGAGATTGCGCAAGTGTTCCGTGCTACAGTTGAGCTAGTACACCCAAACCTGAAACCCTACACCCAAACCCACGCATCAGCCCTCTCACTTTGTGGTAGATGTGCGCAAGTTTGCAGTCACACCCCCGTTAGGTCACCAATTTCTGTAACCTCCATGTCTTGGGGTCCTCTCCCCGACATAGTTTATCACCCTACACCCTAAACCCTCAATCCCAAACCCAAACCCTCTGCGGCCCGGGGCCTCAAGGGCCTCACAGAGCCTGACCCCCCCGAACATCGCGACCCCGACATCCCTGACCCACACCGACCAGTCGGGTTTAGTGTTTAGGGTCTAGATCTAGGAACCTGATTAAGAAGCCCTGTGTCTTGACTAAGTTTCTTTAGTTTCTTTATGTTGGATCCTACTTTTTGGGGGTTGTAGGGCCAGGACTTAATGGGGATACTCCTCCCGCAAAGTATTCGACCCTTTCATGGTGGCTCAGTATGACCGAAACTCCATTTCGAAACGAAGACGCCCGTTGCCAAGCTTCGATAGTTTTCAGGCTTGATTGATACGTAGGTGATCGAACATCTCCAGCTTCTGCTCAATCTACTTCCTTTCAGAGATAGATATAGATGTAGATATAGATATATATGTATATATAATGGCATGAGTATTCATATGTATATATATATATATATATGTATACATGTATGCTTCTTGGGTAGCAGTATTCTCACTATTACTAGTACCTTGCTTTTACTTTTACCTATAATCCAGGTTGTGGCCTGGGGCGACCCCGACGCTGGCGGTGAAATACCCGATGAGGTGCGCTTGCTTTTGCCTGGAATAGATTTTAAAGGTTTAGGGATTGCTTAGAGGATCATGGGACTTAGTAAGTAGGGTTGTAAGTACCTTAATTAGGGTGATAAGTAGATATAGCTATAGTTATCTTACGTATAACCCTACTTACTGAGTCCCCTGATCCTCAAAGTGGGGATTTTGGTTCAGGTTTTTTGCGGTCTGTGCGAGGGTCTCCAAAATCTAGTTCCTGCACCTTGTGGGTTCTGCTCCTTCTCCGAAGGAGCCTAAAAGAATGGTAAGATAATGGTAGGAATAAACATGGACAATCTCCCTGAACCGTTGTGCCATAATTAGGATTATGTTCTAGCAGTATTGTACTGTACTACATTCCAGTTTGATGAAGAGCCATCATACTAAAAATGAAACTAGATAGCCATCATCAAAGTATGAACACTCTAGCTACGCTGTATTGAATGTAAACCTATACTATAACCGACTTGCTAACTTGAAGGATCATGGGACTTAGTAAGTAGGGTTATAAGTACCTTAATAGAGGTTGTAAGTAGATATAACTATAGTTACCTTACCTATAACCCTGCTTACTAAGTCCCCTGATCCTCCAAGAAATCCCTCATTTTCGAGGTCCGGGCTCGCTTGCGCGATGTCAAACAGATTCAGGCGAATCTGGGTTCTTGTTAAAGGACTTTAGCTTCAGTTAGATCTATAACGATTCCGTTAAGGGTTTAGGGTTTACGGTTTTAAGTTACCATAATGGGGATTTATAGGAAATAAAACGGCTTTCTTACTATGGTAACTTAACTTATTCCTTAGCAAGAACCCAGGAATGCACTGGCTTTCGTGGCGCTCCGCGGGGACGGAACCTGGGATTGGTTGGGCAGATGTTGCGGGATGATGCGGGCATATCGACTTAATTGGGAATTTCCAAAAATGGGGGACCCTAATATAGCACCCTAAATAGTAGGATCCTTATTATAAGGACCCGAAAAGAAGGTACCCCTAATTTTTAGAACATGGTTGTCGATGAGTTGTTTTTAATACACACCGTTGAACCATAAGGACTTCGCGCTATCTTGATTTGTGCGTGCATGTGTATATAGCTGAACATGTACATTCTCTCACACACACACACACACGTGTACATAAATACACACATATATATTTACAGATGTTTACAGTAGTATAAGGTATACGCCTACAACGATAAATGTGTGTGTGTGTGTGTGTGCATCGCACAAGTACTGCACATAGACCTACGGCCGTCCAACTCACTATTGGCTACCGAAGGGGTTTGGAGTCTCTGTGGAGCCCTTTGTTCCTAGCACAATTGAAGGGATATTCCTTCATTTTCGAGTTTCCGGAAATAGAGGACTCTAATATAGTACCCTCAATAGTAGGATGCTTAGTATAAGGACCCCAAAATAAGGTATCCCTAATTTTGGGAAACTCCCAATTAAAGGGTTTTGGAGTCTCTTTGGACCCAGGGACCGTGGAAAACCCTAAACCCTAAATCTCTGTGGACCCAGGAACCGTGGTCGCGTGGGGCCATCCCTTGGAAGATGCGGACACGGGCGCTCTTCCGGGTTTGCTTCAGGATGTCCTCTGCGTCCAGGCATGCCGGTTAGATGCCGGGTTCGTTGCTGTGAAGGCCGACAGTGTGGTCGCCTGGGGGTTCGAGCACCCTATGCTGATGGGTGGCTTTGCTAATCCTGGCGGCCGTCGTTTCCATGATTGTGGTTTGCAGATTTCGCGCAACGCGTGGGCCGCTGTGAGCCAATCAGGGCATCTGAGCATGGAGTTTGGAAGATGGAATTACCGAGCCAATTTGGACCTCGTGGACGCAGCTAGGCTTCGCGATGTCGAACACCTACAATGTTGTGCTGAGGGCACTTTTGCGGCTATCCGAGGAGATGGAACGGTGGCGACTTTCGGTGACAAGCGGAACCAACCAGCGGTCTCCGTCCAGGAGGAGTTGAAGAACGTCGCGCAAATTCAAAGCAACCGCAGCGCCTTCGCTGCAATCCGCCGCGATGGGTCGGTTGTCACATGGGGTCCAAAAAGCTCTGGAGGGAACAGCGAGCATGTCCAACACCTTCTCATCAACGTTAAGGCAATACAGGCTTCGGAGCGTGCATTTGCCGCCATTCGAGATGACGGGTCGGTCGTTACATGGGGCCCAAAGCGGACAGGAGGAGACTCCAGTGCTGTGCAAGCCCAGCTCAAGGACGTCAAGCGCATACAATCCACGGACACTGCTTTTGCTGCCATCCGCACTGACGGATCGGTTGTGACGTGGGGGGATGTGACTGCCGGAGGGTACAGCCGACATGTGTCCATGCAGCTCGGGAGATCTGCAGAAGAAGATGAGGAATCGGATCGCCTGGCAATACTTGCGATGGCGCAAACCTCGGCGACGACGGCCACCGAAAGGCAGAAACTCGCAAAGTCGAAAGCCAAGCCCGAGACCAAGGCCGCGAGGAGACCGAAGCCCAAAGCAAAGTCTAAGCCAAAGCCCAAGGCTAAAGCCAAGGCCAAGGCTAAGGCAGGGTGCTTGAAGAAGCCGAGTCGACGATAGGTAGACGAGCTTTGAGCGGGAAGAGTGGTGCAGTGCTGATATGTTACTTCTGAGCCCCCTCTAGAGGGATCCTCATACCTCAAGTTCAGTTTAGAGTTGTTTACACAAGTATTCCAACCGGTTCCTTCGTACCCACAACCCCAGCAAGATCAGAGCTGGGTCCACCCCGTATTTATGAAAGTTCAGGAAGGTTTGGGGCTGAGGGTTCAGGGTTTCGTGTCAACTACTGCATTTAACAAGCTTCAAGCCCGTAGCAGCATAGAAAGGTAGTTGAGGGAGAAGATTGCAAGTGCCTGAAGCCTCAAACCCTGCACAGAAGTCCAGTATCCAAATCTACCACCCTTATTTGCCCCTTGAGCCTACCCGTCCAGGACGCCATTGGTTCAAGCTTATACCTGCCATAAAGGGATTGGTCTGAATAGTCTTCAACCTGACATTTCGGAGGAACGCAAGATTTCGTCTCCAGCCGTGCCTGATCCCCAAACATCTCCGAAGCTCGGCTCCACGCTTCGGCACAATGAACTTGCAAGCTACTATACGAGCCTTAATAATTACCTATACTATATTGGGGGTTCCTTACATAGTATAAAGTATCCCTAAAACCCTAGTCTAACTGTTGTTAACTGAACTTGCCAAAAAAACCTCCGACCCTAAGTCGAACTTTGAAACAGACGTGGCCCAACTCCACCGAGACTGATGCGTTTTGCACACCAACATAGCCCGCTATACTATAGAACAGATATAGTAGGTGCTTCTTCCTTCCTGAGCTGCCCTTAAACCCTAAACCCTAAGCGTTAATCTCAAACCTTAAACCCTGGATCCTATTCTTATGCTGATGGAAAATAGGCCCTTTAAAAAAGAAACTAATCTTGAACCATACGGGCCGGGAGATGATTCAGCATCCGAAGCGATCGAGTGTTCGAGCTGCTCCTCATTACCAAAGGGTGTTGGGGCCCACTATACTTTGAGTATAGTAAGGAACCCCAAATATAGCATAGGTCGTTATTAAGGTCCCTATGCTAAACCCCTACAGTACCCTTATAGTAGCCTTTATAGACCCCTTTAAAGGAACCCCCCAAAATAGTATAGGTAATTATTAGGATTCCTATGTTAAGGTCATAGCGACGGCCCCTATATTAGTTGCATGTGTTACGTCCGACAAGGAGACCCACATCCCCGAAACTCTACGCCCAGGCTTGTGCGAGTGGTTTGTCCGGCGTGCACTTTCGGAATGGGAGTTTCAGGCAACAGTGGGCATTTGCATAGAACAACCCTTATGATAAGAGGCTTACAGTAAGATGCCCCCTGTCAGTTTCAGAAACTCCAAAATCTCCTGTGATCGACGCTCGCAGATGTCTGCTCGAGCCATGTGGCGGCAGGGTGGGTGTTCCTTAATATAATTATAGTATAATGGGCCCTAAAACCCTATTCTAACTATTAAGGCCCCTACATTAGTACACAGGTTCTAATTTTTGGAGATGCAGGGTGTGAGGATCGTAGAGTTCAGGGTTTCAGGGCGCTTGGGGCTTATCCCTCGATGACCCCTGATTTATAAACCCCGCTTTCTCAGAGGCCATAACATTAGGGTTCAGAATTTACGGTTTAAATTTGGGTTTTAGGGCTTTCGGTTTATGATACCTCTGCTAGCCCATCTGTAGACGAGCCAGACCTGTCGAGCCGAGTCGAGCCGATCAGTTATGGCAGCTCAGGCACATGGGTAGTTCTCTAGATTGGGGTCCCTTTTAGTGGGTCCTTTTTATGTATGGGTGCCCTACTATTTTGGACCCTGAAAAGAGACCCTGATGTAGAAAACTACTCACATGCACCAAGCCGAAACCCTAAGCACCCCAAAGTCTTGAACTCGACGCAGAAAGTTCCGCAAGGGCCTCGGGGGGTTGTGAAAGGACGAGTTCACCGAAAACCTTAAATCCGAATTAGATGGGAGTTTCCGAATCTTAGGGGTGCCTTGTTTGGGGGGTCCTTATAATAAGGATCCTATTAATCCTATCATTTAGGGTACTATATTTGGACCCCCTTTTTTTGGAAACCGCGAGATCCAGACCTCCGAGGCTATTGTGTAGTGAGCACCCCATGCCCTTCTAGCCAGCAGCCCAGAGATCCCAATACCCCTTCAGGAAAAGATTTTCAATCTTCAATCATAACATGAAGCCCCCTATAGTTAAAGACGTTAAAGATATATTTCTTAATTAAAGTTATGTTCCTTAAGTACAGTTGTATTCATTAGAGTTATATCCCTCAGTCAAGGGGTATTGGGTTCTCGTTTGAAGTCATCCTGAGACTTCTTCGCTGGTCGATGAAAACCGGTGCAAACCTTCACAGGGAGGGTTGTTTAGGGTTTAGGGGTTTAGGGATTAGGGTTTAGGCTTCACTAAGAAGCCGACAGTTCAAGGGCTTGTCCTTGTTTCAGGGGCAGTTTCCAGGGCTGGCAATGTACACTTTGCCGGCGGGGCTCTGAATGCGGGTCGATGCTTTTGCGGCGCATGGTTTAATGTCCTGGACTCAGGGTTTAGAGTTCAGTGTAAACCCTAAACCCTCCTAAACCCTAAACCCTAAAAGTCACCCTTCCGGAAAGAAAACTAAACCCTAAACCCTGTAGGTCTCTTGCACAAGGTCCGCATGACCCAGACCCAAAGAGCCCAATACCCCTTAATTAAGGAATATGGCTTAAATCATAATATGAAGCCCTTTATAATTTCAGCCATATTCCTTAATTCAGGGGTATTGGTTGGGCTCTCTGGGGAGATGATTGAAGGCGATTTTTGAAAAAACGTAAAACCAGTCTTCGGCTCGAGCTATGGATTCAGTAAATGGGAGTTTCCGGGCTCCTGTAAAGGGATCTATAAGGGTTCTATAAAGGTTTAGGGTTTAGAGTTTCCGAAAATTAGGCGTACCTTATCTTGGGGTGCTTGTAATATGGATCCTACTACTTAGGGCACTGCATTAGGGTCCCGTATTTTCGGAAAGCCTCAAATCAAGATTGCGGATTTGGGGTTTTGAGAGAAGTCTGGAAGCAGATCCCTTGAAGGATCTTTACTTTCGTCGAACCGGTTGTAATGGGTGAGTCAAGGGCATCGTAATGAGGGCATATTGGTGTTGAGAGTTGGGGTTGAGGACCTGGTCCTAAAGTCCTAAACTAAGGTTTCACGGTTGAAGAGCTTGTTTGGCTTAGGATATTGTAGGGGCCTAAATAACTATCAGTACGATTTTGGGGGTTCCTTGTATAATTGTAGTACAGTGGGCCCCGAAACCCGATTCTACTCATCAAGGCCCCTACATTTTTTGATTTGGGCCTGTGGGCTGACGTGTCACTATGCATTACAATCGAGCTTGTCAGCATTACTTTCTGCATGAATAGGCGGGGAGGGAACCCCGAATAAGAGACCCGTAATCGTAAGAAACCGCATTCACTCAGAAAGGACTCCTCCGTGCGACACTTGAAGCAACACTACTGCTCGTCTGCAGGGCAGCGCGTCAGTCCACATCCGGATAAACCTGCTGAGTGGAAACCACACGGATATCCAAGTTACCTGGCTTTTTGCGACGTGAGGGAAGCCCGGCCCAAACCCTAAACCGTAAACTTAACATAAGGGTTTGATGGCTTAAGATTCCGGGATCCAAGCATGCAGCCTAGGGCTCAAGGATGGGGAGTGGTGTGGCAGGCTGGCGTTGGTAGCGAGGAAAACCGGTTTTGCTTGAGTTTCGGGCAGACCGATCCAGAAGTTTGGTTGGTCTTCATGGCATTTGTTCGCAATGCCTGACACGCCAAAGAAAGCCCCTCTTCCTTTGCGATGACAGGCGAACTCCTAGAAACTGTGGCGTGGTAACATTTAGGCTTGAGGTTTCAGGCTAATTTAGGGTTTACTTCGACGTTCAGTTGTTGAAGCCCGAACTTACTAGGCCTGAACCCCCAAACAAAAGCCTGATCCTTAAACCTGCACGGCTCTCTGCACCATGCGGTGTAGAGTTATGTATGCATACATGTAGGTACATATTTATATATATATACATATATATATGTGTGTGTGATGTGTATATATAAACATACGTAGACAGATAGATAGATGCAGACATGGATAGACACGTGTGAGCACATATGCACACGGGTAAGCTCGCATTGGTGTACATACATACGTGTGTATATATATTTATGTATATAGACACACACAGATGTATATTTGCATGTAGGAAGACATGTACGTACACTTCTGTTTTTGTGCATATTCAAGTACGTAGGTATGTATGCATGTACGTATGTGTGTATGTAGTTTAAGTAAGTTTCTATGCATACATGCATGCATGTATGTACACATGCTGTACTTGTTTGCTGGGTGGTTGTCAGTACCCATTACATGTGTCTGTGCTTGTGTGCACGCATGAGCGCATGTGAGTAACTAAGCATATGCATGTAGATAAGCATACCTTGTTTTAGCCGTGCATTTGGTGTGCGGATAAGTATCTGACATAAAGCTTTTTCCCTTTATTGAAACCTGTGCATGTCTGTGCAAACATTGATATGCTGTCTTTATATATATATATATATATATATGTATGTATTTGTATCTCCCTCTCTCCCTCCCTCTGTAATGTGCTGTGATCATGCAGGAGGATGTCCGATGATTTCCGGAAGGATATCGGGCTCGATTCTCTCGCGCATGCCCCCAACCATTCGTATTCCAGCTGCCACATTCAGTGCTTTGCAAATATGTGTTTCCTACGTGTATACATGTTTGCAAGAGTAGTTGCATTCCCGGTGCAAACTTGGCCGCTTGCAACAACTGTTTGCAAGCTGGGTCGCTATAAGATGTTTTTCGCGGTTACAGTTCACGTAATTGGGTTGACGTCAACATAGAGCTCACCAAATATGAACTGAAATTGTCGACTGACGTTCCACTCCGTCGGTTTTGGAACCTGCCTCCAACTCAGATTGGTGCAGAAAGTAAGGGTGGTTTGGTATAACATAGGGCTTCCACTACTAATCCCCAAGTCAAACCGCCTTAAAGCTGTATTTCAGAGCTTCCAGCGCCACCATCTAGCCCCTAAACCCTGAGTCCCTAAACCTAAAACTTAAACCCTTTGTCTTTTGACATCGGCCCAGGTCGTGCCAGACATGTCAGTGGAGAGGCTGCACCTACATTGCAGCCAGTTTTTTTGCGGACTTCCGACATGCGGTTGAGGGTTTAGGTACCCTAAACCCTAAATCCTGAACCCGCACCCTGACAATGATCGCTGTGCATATTCAGTCTCGAGAGAATGCCGACTTGTGCCTCCTCGGTGCTTCCGTATCTTATCCCATGCTTCGAGAAGAAAGTTTAGGGTTCCTTGGTTTGGGCTCCAAGGTTCTAGCTCCAAGCCGGCCTGGTTGGGCAATGAGTCTTCGTTGTTGGTGGTGTTTCGCGAGCTCCCTTTCCAAGAAGCCTCGAAATACCTGGTGATCCTGAGGAGGGTGACGGCGGAGAACGCTTTCGAAATCGAGGGTGTCCTGTCCGTTAATCTCGGGTTGAAACTCCTGTTCGTGAAGCCTGTTGCAAGCCTCAAACACAAGATCTCAGAGGTTAGACGCAGGTTAGTATTATGAGATTGTTATTTTTTGTCATATTTCTAGTAATATTAGTATGTTTCTTAATATTACTATCACATTGTCCTTATCATTAGTGTTCTTTCCTTTGAAAGTGGTATCAATATCGAGCCATTACGTCCGACAAGCTTCGGCTCCTACGGCATAGAGTCTCCCGGTTTAGGGTTAACGGTTGAGGCTAAAGTTTTAGGGTTTTGGGCGTTAGGGTTTAGGGTCTTGTTTCAGGGTTAAAGTCTCCCTGCAACAAAGCTTGCACCACACCGCCACGATGAGTCTTTGACGGAAAGAAACTTGAAGCCCGAAGGCTGCAATAGCGAGGAGACTGAAGAAGGTCGTTCCAACAACAGGTTCGGTCACAAAAGTCCCAGAGCAGGCGATGGCCCAAGGTGGCTAGTTGTCAAAATTAGGGTCCCTTCTTGGGTCCTTTTTATAATAAGGCACCTATTATTTAGGGTACCCAACAAGAAACCTTAATTTCAGAAGGGAGGAGATGGGCCCAAGAACGAGAGAAGGCAATTGGTTAGGGCTGAACAGCAGCAGCAGTTGCAACAACAGAAGCAACCAAACGACGACGACGATGAGTACGAAAAGCCTCCCTTGTGAACCCTAAACCCTAAACCACCGCAACAGCTCAAACAGAAGCAACGCGACCAACCCTGGCAGAAGGCGGAGGCTCCTGGGGTTCAGGGCTTAGGGTTCAGGGCTTAGGGTTCAGGGTTTAGGGCTTAGGGTTTAGGGCTTAGGGTTTAGGGTGTTCACACCCCCGACCCCTCAGAGCTCTGAACCCGGAACAATAAAAAAGAACAACGTACTATAGGGGCCTCCATGAATCAGAGTAGGACTCCTTCAGAGGGCTCTATACTTACAAGCTACCAACTAAGTCTCCTGATCCTTGAAGCATCGCTGGGGGTTTCAGATAGCAGCTGTTCGGGACTACATGACTTTCGGGACTTACAGTAGTGATGCATGCTGGTGCGAGACTGACTGTTCTGTCAAGGTGGCATACCGCCGGGGCACCAGCTCATCTTCCCACTTCTTGTGCGCACGCTTCCTCTCGATTTGGACCTGACCAGCACCGTCGTGGAGGCGTTGCTTTGTTTTACGAGAGCGTGTCGTCGCAAGTTGATAGCACATGCTAGTAAGAGTTGTTCTAAATCAGGTTCCGTTCAAAGAGTGGCTCATGGCCAAACGGACCCTGTGGAGTCCAGAATCTAGGACGGCTTTACAGGTTAGTGGATGAAGGCCACGGAGTTTGCAATCTTGGTTCCAGACACTGCTCAAGATGGCTCAGTCTAGCTCCCAAATGTGCCAGACTCCGAGCCCTGAGGAGAGTGCTCTTGTAGTTTAGAGGAATCCTCTGTATCGGCATCAACACCTGCGGTGGCAGGTTGTGCATGCATGTGGCTGATGATCCCTACATCCTGGTCCCAATGACAAAAATCCTCGAATCCCAAGTCGCAACACCACCTGTAGTGCTGTCAGGAATTATTTTTGGTTTTGTTCGACTCCAAGGGATTGTTAAATTAGTCTTTCCCTTTGTGGTTCTAAGGGCTCTTAAGCCACGTCCTCCACCTAACAAAACCAGCATAGGGTAGAGAATGCATACTAAAGCGTATCCCGGCAAGGCTGGGCTGAGAGATGCCGACATTTTGGCGATCATCCAGAAGCCACGGACTGTTTGGAACAGTGGTGAAGTGAGGCTCCTGGGATTTTGGTTTAGTCTTCTCCAAAAAGGGTAGTTTCGGGCCTTCGGATTGTTGCAGAGGGTTTGCCGTGTTTGTTAGGTCAGTGGGTGTTGTGGTGTGCGTGTGTGTTTGTTTTTCGGAGTCCTGGCGGAAGGCTTAAAGGGTTTTAATGCCTGAAAGTTTAAGACTTCAGGTTTATTGAACACATAATGTTGCTGAGGGTGAAGCTCTGCAAAGGTTGAATGAAGCCTGCCTTAATCAAAGGGGAAAAGGAGGGACCCTTAGTGGGGACCCCTACCCTATAATGGGCTACATAATGGGTATATAATGGCTATACTAAGGGTTTATACCTAGGGGCCCTTATTAAGGGTCCCTCCTTCTACCCTTGGAGTTAAGGATTGCTCGAATGCTTCTTGTCAGTCAGTTTAGTGAAGAGAGGGTGCGTTTTCGAGCGAGCGCTCACTTTGGAGGGGTGCGAAACACACGCTGAAACAAACAAACACACATACACACGCGCACAAACATACCAAAATGGAGTGAAATTATCAAGCTGATGATATTGTGGTCCAAAGTGGAACGAATCTGCTTGTGTAAATCTCTGGGTTGTAAATCTTTGATACTGTCGCTACTCTGGACAAACTATGGCGCAACACCCTCGTACACATTCTGAATGCGAATCGACCTGGACGGTGGTTTTCGCATTTGTCATGTCCGGATGAAGGGTCTCTCAGACCGAAACTTTAAGCGGACGAGCGAGCGGGCTACCAATGCTGCAGGTCTACGTTCCATGTTTGATTCATAAAATTGGAGGGCCATCAACATGCCGCCGAGTCGCTCGGAGAGATACGATTGCGTACAGGTGTCTGTGAACATAGCAGCCTGGAGTACGACAGAAACCCAAAAAGGTGGTCAACGGAGGCTGGGCGTCTAGGGTTGTGAGTTTGAGGGAAGCCCTAAACACTCAACTTGCCTATGGGGGCCCCTTTTCGAGCCCCATCTGAGGTGGAATGTGAAGCTCCGGTCAGATGGCGTGCTGGAAATACCAGAGCCCTCGGGCACGCGGTTCTTGATGATTCTCGGCTCAGATTTCTGTGCATGCAAGACAGCTAGCGAAAGTCGTCTTCGTAGCAGCAGCATGTATTGCTACTGGGTATCAGAAGAATCCCCGTGCGATTCTAGCGGCGCAGGCGCACACCGATCATGTGTATGTTCCGTGATTCTGTCGCCAGGAATTCGTGTCACACCCTTTGACGGTCGTCTGAGTGTCCATAGAGAAGCTGTCTCGGCAGGCTTGATGCCGCTTTTGTTGTTCCTTCCAGGGTGTTGCTGGGAAACCTGCCGAAAATGAGCTGAGCCAGCTTCTCTACCTCTTGATTGCGAAACCCGGATGGTTTGGACATCTGATGCTGCGATTTCGTGGAGGATGTGGTGTTGTTCGTAGGAACCTCCCTGCGCAAGTCTCGCAGCGAAGACCACTCCGTTCCGCAGGAACGGGAGTCGGAGAAGCATTGAGCGTTTTCGTGTGTAGCGGGGAGGTGTTAGCCACCCCAGTAGCATGTAAGAAGGTCTCGTTACGGGTGGCTCACAACGAACGCAGGCACTGTACAGGAATGGTGCTTCTTCACAAAGCAAATTACCTCAAGCTTTCCTGTGGTTGCGCGACTTTCAGCTTCAACCAGTGGTCTTCAGCAGCGGAAACCTTAATTCATGTCCTCTGCCTGAAGGGGCATTCTCCTGGTCTAGGCCTAAAAGCCCAAGCTGTACTGTTTTGGTGCAGGAATGGATTCTCAGACCGGCCAGTCAGCATTATGGACGATCAAGGTCCATTTAGGAGGTACGAGGAGGTACTAGCAAGCAATGCTTTCTCGTTCAGGGTCAGGCTGACGGGTCGCGAAGGGAGATGATTAGCCACCCAACTCTAAGCCGCCTATCTTAAACTCAACACCGAGGAAGGTGAAGGACATTGTCCTGAACGTGTCCTGTCATGCAGCTCTGTTCGAGGACGCGGAGGGAAACACACCCGAAAATCCTTCATCAGGGCAGAGAGGCCCGTGTTCTCCTAAACGAGGCATATCCTTGAGATGCCTCGAGGGATCCTTCGTCCGATGTAAGATGATGCTTAACATGGAAGAATTCTCCTCCCACTTGTACCCTAAGCCTACCCTAAACCCTAACCCCTAAACACCCTAAACCCCGAAACCCGAAACCCAAACCCCTAAACGCCTGAACCCTGTATCTGAAATAATGGCCAGGACGGATCTGTGAAGACCTGGGGGTGCCCGTTCCAAGGAGGTGGGCGACTTGGGGGAGCCGGGCACCGAGTCCGACGCATGTGTAGAATGTATATATATAAATATATGTATATATATACATATATATATATATACATATACATATATATATATATATGTATGTATCATGCATGCACATAGCGTACATGTACTGTATGTACGTATGTATGTATGTCTGCATATACGTATGTATGCACGGTAGATACGTGTATGTATATATATATATATACAGATAGATATACAGGTATATATGCACGGGATACTTGAGAAGCCACTCTTACCACTTCGTGATCTGTTCCAACTGGACTGCAACTTCCTACCCTCGTTTACACTAGGTCGGTGGTTCCATGTTACATGGTGTTTCCACCCGACCCTTAGGTTTTAGGGGTTGGGGTTTAGGGTGGTTCAGAGTCTTTAGGGTGGCTCAGAGTTTGGAATTTCGGGCTTTGAGGCTGCTCCGAACCTGCTGCCTCCAACAACAGTTTCAATCCTCGTGCAAATTCAGCACAGCAACCATGGCTTTCCACCATGTCCTGGATCTAATCGTCTTAGGGGCTCCCTGGTTGAATTTTGCGCAAGTTTTGGTATCCACATCCTGGTTTAGATATGTGCTTAGAAATCTGTTTCAAAGCCAGGATCTGTCGCAACGACCGTATGTCCGAGCCAAACCCACAGCCATACAATGCACGCCAGAGGCTTGCAGTGGAAGTTCGAGTTATCCAGCTGACACAACTTCGTCTAAGTATCCGATAGTGCTATGAAGGAGCCCAAATCCTAACTGTAAACGAACCCTAGCCGCTAGCCCCTTAGCTGTTGGAACCCTAGCAAAAGGGCTGCTTTTCGAGAAGGATCTGCTAAGCAGAAATCCACGTCCGGGTACGCCCTCAGAAAAGTTATCTTGCTTACGCTGGCCTCCCACGATTCAGCGACCTTGGCAAGTAGAATAGGGCTTTGGGGGGCATATCACAGTATAGTTCAATAACAAATTCTAAACCCTAAACCCTAACAAATTCTATAGGGACTAGAGGGCCTTTCCGGATCCCTCCAGGTGACAGCGAAGATGTGCAGCACCTTCTACACAACGTGAGCTGGCATGGTAATTGTAATCGAATCATATAAGAAACGGCATGAATCATTCTAAGACAGGGTGTGTGTGTGTGTGCCAATTTGTTCGAAACAAAGCTTGAATTTCCCTACGCCCTTTGAACTAATGAATATGCATAGTGATTTCGGCATACTTGTTTTGTTGGCCAGCCTTTCATCCTGCACGGTAGATCCGGTAGACAGACTGAAAGAGAAAGAGGCAAATGTTATCTCTCGAGAGCGGTGACCAAGGACGCAAAGGGTGAAGCCAGATCAGACCCTCCGAGTTTAAGATACCAGCCAAGCCTCAGACTCAAAACCCTTGACAAGAGAAGCCTTGACTTGTCTAAGCATAGAAGCCTGCCGAAATCTTAGAATTGTTGTTCTGCCAACGTTCCCTGCATGGTTATTAATTAACCGCTGCATAAGGAGACTTGTGCGTGGCCTGCGTCTGTAGCAAGTTCCCTGCGCGCGGAAAGCAAAACCCCGAAACAGTGTAACAGCCGAAACACACGCCGTCAAGCACTGTAACGCCCTGCAAGCGCCAACAAATCCTATAAACCGCAGCTTTAGGTGAAGAGCCTCGCAGCCAGCGATATGGCATTCGCAGCTCTGCGCGATGACGGCAGAGTGATCTGTTGGGGTGATCCTGAGCCTTAGCTGCTGAGTTCGTAGCCTGTTTACCTCTTGGCCTGATATCATCTGCAAGGTGGGTACTTAGAAGATCCCGGGACTTAGTAAGTAGGGTTATAAGTTATAAGTGCCTTAATCAGGGTTAGAAGCAGGCTTTACTATAGTTACCTTACATATAGTCCTGGCTACTAAGTCCCATGATCCTCTAAGTAGTAGGCCACCTGGATATTTTATACTTACCCTTATCGGGTCGAAGAAGGTCTTCTTGTGTTTGAATGTGGTTCAAGAATGATTCCGAGTCCAAACAATTCTAAGTGAAAGGGGTGCAGTTTCAGATTTTGGCCAAAGAGCTGGAGCCAGGATGATTTGTGCGGGCATGATCGCGAAGACCTTGTCGAGGCTGGATTAGGAGTTGAGGATTTAGGATCCCAAAACCCGTAACCCCCAAACCCTAAAGTGAGTGACTGGAGAGAATCATGGACGTGAGCGGCTGAAGTTGTCAATGCTCAGGCGAGGAACTGAGGGTCTTGATGTGCTTGATGGTTTGGGGTTTAGAGTTTAGGGGTTCAGGGTTTAGGGTGGTTGTCTATTTGTCCAGACTCCGGACATATCATGACCGCATGCTGAACTTATTCCCCACTCGTCGCACGATTGCAGGGCGAGATTGAGGTGCGAAGCGCTGGGCAATCATCAACGGCCCCGCGCCCCTAAGAGGATTTCTCCTATCCATCGTTCAGCCTACTTCTTCAATGCGTTTTACTTGTAGAGATCATAGGGTCCACTCCAAGGGGGAATGGAAGAGCGGGTAACGCTAAATCTGGTCCTAGCAACTGACGGTTCTTGCGTCGTCCGTCGTGGTAGAACGAAGTAGCAGCAGTTTTGTGGATCATATAGCTCCCAAAAAGCCACATAAACAGACGTATCTCACAAAGGAATCCCGCCCTACCGGCATCCTAATGCCTACACTATAGGAACCTTATGTCCATTTACTTTCTGGCCCTGCTAGCAGGGCTCGTAGCGTTAGAGGCTAGATATGCAGGAACTTTAAGTCGGACAGCACGCCAGGTGACCCACATCGCAGGATGTTCTCAAGGCTTCGCCGCTTTGACAGCCCATGGCCGCGTGATCACCTGGGGCACTCCGGACATCGACGTCAGAAATGATGCTGACAAACAACTGGAGCTCCACAGCATCAAAGAACCAAAGCATGCGTTGGTAGCAGTTTTCATGCTGGGTCCAACAGAACCTGCACTTGAACTAGCTCCTGCTTTGTCTGAAGTTGAAAGCCGCAGTGAGGAAGTCATGGGTCTTCGCACTGAAGCGGCTTTCGCGGCTTTGCGCGCAGACGATGTGGTCATCGCATGGGGTGTATTCGGCGGTTTCCTGCTGCGTGGGGTTCGACAGCTGGTGGCCTCGGAGCAAACCTTTGCAGCTTTGTTGCACGACGGGTCGGTGCAGGTTTGGGGGCACGAGGACTACGGTGGTGACTCGTCAGCAGTTCGACACGAGCTCCAGAAGGTCCTTCAGATTGCTGCTTCCTTTGCGGCTTTCGCCGCGCTCAAAGAAAACGGCACGGTGGTCTCCTGGGGATCGCCTCAAGCGGGTGGAGACCAGGGCGATGCGATGGATCGCTTGGTGCATGTGCAGGAAGTCACCACCAACAGCACCAGCTTCGGGAGCCGTGCTGGGATTTCAGAACACATGGGATACAGCAATCAGCACGCAAATATTACACCGTATTGTGCTGTATCATACTATAGTATACTATGACTGCAACATAACATTAGCTTGTGAAGTACACGATACTATCGCAAGCTTGAAACTCCTAACCCTAAAAACCAGGTAGGATTATCTTTAAAGGGATCTTTAAGGGTACTATAAGGGTTCCTTCAAAGGGTTCTCTCCTCAGAAGCCCAAAAGCCTTGGAAGCTGCTGGAAACTCTGAGGGGCTCGTCGGGGCTCGAGCTTCAAGCTTTAAGGGCGCAGGTTTTTGAGGTGTTTGGCAGTTTAGGTGTAGGCTTTTAGAGGTTTGGGATTTAAGGTTTAGGGCAGTATAAGGTGTAGGCTGTTAAGGGTTTAGGGTTTAGGGCCGTTCAGGGTTGGCATAGACTTCGGGATGTGAACTCTTGGATGTTGGACGTTGTAGGTTGGGTTGCAACATCATCCTCGTCAGCCTTTCGGAATTCGTAAACCTGGTAAGCCCTAAACCCCAAACCCTAAACCCGAGCTGCCCACATTTCCTGGAAGTCCGTGAGGAGCGGCTTCGTCGCCACCTTGGTGAATGGTGAGCAAGTCTGTTGGCCTCCAGATGGTTTGGCTTCTCAGCAGACGCCAGAGGAGTCGTTCAAACAGCCCTAGACATGTGGAAGTATGGAATTGCCCTCCAATGGAGTGCAATTCCAGCATCTAAACCAGAAAGCTGTGGCCCGGGATGATGCCTCTAAGTGCCTCGAAAGTTGGTGCTGCCGAATTTGCGCTTTCTCCGGGTCCAGCATTGATTTTTGTTCGCAAAGTTCTTGTTGTGTGCAGCGGTGGTGTCTTCGAAAGAGGACGCCAGTTTTAGACAGAGATGATGCCTTCCGGGCTGCCAGATGGCCCATATTTTCACTCGCAGATGCGACTGCTTCGACAATCTCACAAAGTCTACCAAAGCGGGTGAAGATGCGAACTAGCACCATAACAAGTATGATCATTTATTCTCGAAGCTTGCAAAGCGGAACCTTACACTCAGAATTCGTCCTCTCCAATGATGTAGAATGAGAACCACAAATCTGATGAATTAAGGTTGATACGAGATGATCTACGTCTGTTTTTATTTCTTCTTGCATAACGGTAGTTGCATTATATCATATCTCTTTCACTTGGGTCTTTTATACTATGTCGATATTTTTATTACTCTGAGCATCTAAATTTTTTTAATTATTGTTGTATCTACTTATCTGCTTCGTAACCAATGTATTATGAGGCAGGTCTGGTGTCGATTGTTGGTTATTGGATCATTTATCAGAATTGTTTAATATTAATAAACTAAGATTTGGAACAATAAGACTGCACATATCTTAAAAAAATAGAATTTACGTTGATTGACATGGAAAAATAAGAACCATTAAATGAGACGATATTCTTATCTGAAAGAGTACTACTAGTAGAGGAAAAGAACAAGAAATTTTTCTTAGATAGAAATATAGATAGATGATTGAAGAATAAAAATTCAATCTGGTTTTATGAATGATATATTATAGGCTGCTCTATTATATGAAATTATTTCTGAATTATCTGAGAATTAGAATGAAGGATTATTATACTAAAAATTAATAACCTTGAGTCTTAATATCACGTCTGATTAAAAGTTTATAAATATTAGATATGCGAGCACTTATCTCATAATAATAAAATCTGGAAGAGCTTGGAAACTTTAGAAATTCTCGTGATATTAAATTATTAGAGCTTTAGGGTGGTATTCTCGCGTTA